CTCAAGAAATGCTTCAATCGCCCGGGCTGCATATACGGCCTCAACTCGTTGGCCACTGACCACGACTCATTCTTGCCACGGCGAAGCAGGAACAATTTGAAAACGTACAGCAGTCCAGCGGGCGTCGTGGTCCACTGCCTGATGTCTTGCAGGATGCCGCTTCCTTTGGACACGGCCGTGCACAATAGGAAGACGTTGACAAAGTGCACCTTGTCGTTGTCAAAGAGGCTCAGCTCCACCTCCACCAGGGCCAGCCACAGGGACGTCAGGGGCTCGACCAGCTCTTTCTTGGTCATTCCAGCGTCCAGGCCCGCACTCAGAGCCACGGTGGCATCAATTACCGCAGGGCCACGGCTGGCAAGCACCTGGCCCAGAAAGCTAGACGGATCGGGGGCTGGCATGGCCTCCAGCAGCAGCAAGAATTGGACCAGGCGTGTCCCAAGACTCAGGTACCTGCTGACGGTTTGCGGCTGTACTTGCCGCATGGGGCGATGCTGATACTGCCCTTCATTGTCGTCAAACAGACGCGTCACCGCAGCAGCGGCCAGGCCCTGATCCGAGAGCTGCTCGTAGGCCGTCCAGAACAGCTCGTGCATGCCCGACTCAAGGAGTGCCGACGGGGTGTTGTGGCCCAGTCCGACCATGCGCTCTGGCTTCAGCTCGTTGATGACCAGCGTCATGCCCACGCTGTCGTAAAACGGATGCATCTGGTGAACGCCGTGCGGGCATCGCTTATCCTCAGCCTCCGAGGCCATGGCCTGGGTGCTTGAGATAAACTGCTTGAACCGCTGCTGCTCCTCCAGCTCCTCTTCGTTCTCGCTCACATCGGCTGCCGAGGCGTCGTGGCTTTCCTCCACAATGATCTCGACACAGCGGGCTCCAGCACCGCGCAGCGGCTTTTGCAGCTTGACTCGTCGAGGCGGCTGATTGATATTGGGGTCACCAACGTGTTTGTTGTGCAAATGAAAGTGCAGGCTATTCTTCGTCGTGAAGCATGCCTGACAAATGGGGCAACTCACGCCGTCCAGAATGGGGATACCTTCCACAGGCGCTCGAGGCCCAGCCTCTGTTGCAACATCCTCTGTTGGCTCCTCGGGCTGCTCAGAGCGCAGGAGCGCCGTGGCTGCATCAATGTCTTCTTGACTACACCGAACATGGTGCTTTTTGAACAGGTGTTGGGGCACATTACCACTGAGGACATGGCCACAATGAGTACACACCAGCCCTGAAG